AATGTGAAACTGATGATGCACCCTGTAAACTTTCACTCAATTTACAATAAAAACCTTAAATTAAAAAAAAAAAAAAAAAATTAGAAAACATCAGAGAAACCCAAACTGGGAGATAGTCTACAAAATGACTGGCCTATATTTTCTGAACTGCAAGATCAGCAGTTCAAGTCTACCAGGTGCTTCTAAGAAACCCTATACAGAGTGTCTCTATGGGTCAGAACTGACTCGATGGCACTTAACAACATTATTCATATATGTCAACGCAATAAGAAAAAAGACTAAGGAACAGTTTCACATCAAAGGAAACTAACAAGAATTGACACCTAAATACAATGTATGATTTGAGACTTAATTAGCTATAAAAGACCTCATGGAGAAAATATGAATGAAATCTATAGAAAAGTTAAGTTAATTTTGAACGTTATACTGTGATTATGCAAGAGAATATCCTTGCTTTTTTAAATTACACAATGAAGTATTAAGAGTACAGAAACACCATGTTTGAAACTTATTCCACCAAAGGTTCAGGAAACAAAATGCTCATAGAGAAAAGGAAGTACAAAATGATTTTTAAAAAAAAGGTAGGTCTGGACAGAGGATATTTAGATATTATCTACAAGCAGGGTATACGCCTCCATTTCTGCATGTCTCTTTGGTTTCTTTGAAACTTTTCTCTTTTCCTGAAATTATGTTAAAAAACTAGCAAAATGATGGATTCTGGTTGGTCGGTTATGTGCCGTGGAGTCAGTTCCGACTCTTAAAAACCCTGTACAGGATTTACAAGGCTGCAAATCTTTAAAGGAGCAGAAAGCCTCATCTTTCTCCTGCAGAACAGCTGGAGTTTCAAACTGCTGACCTTGCAGTTTGCAGTCTGATTCGTAACCAATAAGCAGAAATATATACCCTCTACAACAGAGAGTTGAGAGACCAAATGCAACAGGCACAGATCAAAGTCCTGAAAGCCTGAACTCCACAGGAAAGGTTAGAGAAGTGGACTGAGTTCATGCTAGGAAAAGAAGATGATCAGAGATGATGACGAGCTACAGAGACTGACTGGTGAACAGCGGTGGTGGCAGTGAACTTCTGTGGTGGCAGAGGAGATTCACAAGGGCAATGCAAAAGATGCGATTCCTTCTTTTTCTTCACATTCTCCTTTGTGGCCAGAGGTGTGGCCAGTTCCTAACATCATCACAATAGAACCAAAAGAAATAAAAAGGATAACAACAGAATAATACTACACAGAATTATACTCCAGCAAATTTGAAAATCTAGAAGAAACAGCAGTGTACAAGATCAACATACAAAAAGCAGTTGGAGTTCTTTACACTAGTAAATAGAGCCCTGAAAAGGAAACCAGGAAAACAAAAACACTATCATAAGCCACCCAAAAGTAGAGGCTAAGGATCAGAAAAACGCCTGTCTTCACGCATGGTTGGGAAGAGGCTATACTGACCAAGTAATTGTTTTTCTGATCCTGAATTGTAATTTGTTAACTTCCCTAATAAATCCCATAACTGGGTGAATGGGGAGCCGCCCAAAATATGAAATACTTGGGAATAAATCTAACCTGAAAAACAAAAGACTTAATACAAAGAAAACTACAAAACATAAGAAACCAAAAAAGGCGTGCAGAACTGGAGGACTATACACTGGTTGTAGATAAGAAGCCTGAACACTGAAAATGTCAACAGTTTCCAAAGCAATCTATAGATAAAATTCACTCCCAATCCAGATTCCAACATTATTCTTTAAATATCACTAAATTTATATGCAAAGTAAAAAGATCTCGGATAAGCAAAACATTGCTTAAGAAGAAGAATAAAATTGAAGGACTCTTATTCCCTGATCTAAAAATCTACTACACAGCCACAGTGGTCAAAACAGCCTGGTACAAGTACAACGAAAGATACATAACATAAATCAATGGAACAGAATTGAGAACCCAGAAGTAAATCAATCCACATATACTGAGCTGATCTTTGACAAAAGGCCAAAACACATAAATGGAGAAAATATAGTCTTTTCAACAAATGGTGCTGGCAAAACTGGAAATTCATTTCAAGAAAAATGAAACAAGAACCGTATCTCATATATTATGCAAAAATGAACTCAACATGGATTAAAGTCCTAAATATAAAGCCTACAACTATAAGATCATCAATGAAAAAATAGGGACAAACCTAGGGGCTCTGATTCATTATATACACTACCAAACATAACAACACACAAACAGCAGAAAACAAAACAGGTGACTGGTACCTCCGAAAAATTAGACACTTAACATTCATCAAAGGATTTTATCAAAATGTTTGGCGATGATACATTAGGCAAAGGACTACTTCCTAAAATTTATAGAACACTTCAACACCTAAACAAGAAGACAATCCAATTAAACATGGGCAGAGGACATGAACAGACATTTCACCAAAGAAGACATTTAGGCAGCCATCAAGAACATGAAGAAATTCTCACGATCACTACATATTAGAGATGCAATTCATAACAACAATGTGATATAATTTCACCCCAGCTTTAATAGTAACATTCAAAAAAAAAGAAAGCAAGCAATGCTGAGGTGGGTATGGAGTAAGGAACCCTCCTACACTGCTGGTGGGAATGCAAAATGATGCAACTGCTGTGGGAAATGGTATGGCTCTTTCTCAGAATGTTGGAAACAGAAATACCATATGACCCAGCTATAGTTCTACTTGGTATATATCCTTAAGAAATAAGAGCTGAGACATAAATAGATATACACACCTCCATGTTAATCACAACATTATCCACAGCAGCAAAAAGATTGAGGCAGCCTAGATGCCCCACCAGCAGAGGAATGGCTGAACAAACCTTGCTATAAACACAATGGAATATTACCCAATATTGAAAATAACAATGAATCTGAAAACCACATAACATGGAGGAACCTGAAGGACATCAAGCTGTGTGAAACTGTTGTTGCTGTTAAGTGTTACTGAGTCAATTTCAACTTAGCAACCCTGTAGAAGGTTCCCAAGGAGTGGCTGGTGAGTTAAAACCACCAAACTTGTAGTTAGCCGTTCGGTACTTATCCAACAGTGTCATACAAAGGGCAGATTCTTTATAAAACTATAACTGTAAAAAGTGAAAAGAACGTTTTCGTGCTATAATACTAACATTCTACGATGGTTCCGATGGGGCGGGGGGTTGGTGTAAGGACGGGGTGGAGATAAAAAGATATCTATCTATTCACTGGATGTTCTTTACATTGACTTGTCTTTGTAATTAAAAGTGTAATTTTTTAACTTAAAACTCCTTAGAATTATTGTTTCAAATGTAATAAACTATATATTTCTTCTCTTCATAACAAACAAAAACATAAAACTCATGTTCAAAGAGAATTATGTAAAATATCTGATTAGTAAAGTGGTAGATCCAGGGCACAAACCTGGGTTTACTCTGATACTAAAGAGAACATGATTTCTCTCACTTCATAATTTATCTCTACAAGTTATCTCAGAAAACTTCTACTATTGGGCATTTAAGTGGGCAATAAACATCTTAATGGATAAAGCCATTGTTTCTTTCTCCAATTTAAGATTATCTCCTGAAGAAAAACTTCCAAAAATGAGAGTAATGAATAAATGAATAACATTTCTGATGCATAATTTTTTAATGTTTATAATATAAATGAAAAAATTGGAAACCTAAGGATCTAGGGATGCCTCCCACAGCTTAGTGAGTAGGTTTTCTCCTAATTAGATCAACTGAAACATCTCCAAAAGGTCAAGAAAAAAATATCAGTGACAACCCTGGGTGGGAAAGCGCCCTTTCTTCTCATGAGGATTTTATGGATAAGAGTCCAAGCATGTAACCTGGGTGGAGCGGGTGGGGAAAGGAACAGTTTACACTCCCAACATATCATCTGACCCTCCCTTCACACCATGTTTTTCCATCTTTGCTGACTTAATCAACAAAAATTTAAATATGTCCTTGTTTTAATGTATAGTTCTTTGATGTTCGGAGTGGTACTCATGAATATACGTAACTTGTATATCTTTGAAAGGAAGACTATTCTCAAAATAAACTTTTACTTAAGCACTCATCTCTAAAGGGAGGGCCCAGTTCAAAATATCCAAAATTTTCAACACTCAACAATCTTTCCTGCTCAGTTGTGAATAAATACCTATCAGACTAAGAGAAACTCAAGCACCAAATAGCTAAGTATCTGTGGATACTGATAACACAGGAGATTAATCTCATATTTGAAATTTTAATGCAGTAATTAAGCAGCATCTGCTTGGTGTGTCCTTAACAGAGCATTTGATTGTGATTTTTTTTTTTAAGGTTTTTATTGTGGATTGAGTGAAAGTTTACAGGGCACATCATCAGTTTCACATTCAACCATTCATATGACTTGTTTCATTACATTGATTATTATCCCCTCCATACATCATCAGTTTACAGTGCTTCTCTCTATCCTCTTTATTGATTGTGATTTTAAACCGCACGTATAATTAGGCATCACAGTAGAGTCAAATCATCCATTTGAAATTACAATAAAGAGCCTTGGTTAATCACTAAATTAATAGTAAAGAAAAGGAGAGAGATACCTAGATGCTAATGAGTAGCAGGGGAAGGCTCAAAGTTATAAAAGTCCTCGCGGAACAATAGCCAACTGTACCTGTTCAACAATGTAATCTATCTACTTTTTACCACAAGGTTCAAATTCCTGCAGTTTCCTACAAGGGCGAATATTAAATCACATTTGCATCCTTAATTTCCGGATTCTAGGCAAGACAAACAAGAGTTCTACAAAAACTTACCTGTGCTACTTGTTTCTGTGGCTGTGTTGCCTGTGTTGCTGAAATCTGTGTTTTTTCCCGAGCGCTTCGCGAACGGTCACTGCTCACTGAAGTCATCATATACAGTATATACAAAACAATGTATGTACAAAATAGAAAATCTGCAAGAAAGCAGGCATGGTAAACAAAAGTTCAAAATCATAGAAAAGGTAAGAAGAAAATACAAGGGTGAGAAAGGCACATGAGATAAACATAGAAGCTCTCAGGAACACAAACTCTTAGGGTTTGATTGTGGAAGTAGTTCAAACCATTTTACTTGTACAATCTAAACATCCATTGCTTGCAATTTTAGTAAATCTAAACAAAAATGTGAAGTATCACTCGTTTTCATGGACAATCATTTTATCACTACATGCAGTTATTTCCATATGTAGATTTATCTGGTTCTTCCCACCTGTAGTTGGTATGTAATCCCAAAGTCAACACTGCTTCCAGTCAAGACTTTATCTGGCAATAATCCAGTTCAAAATGTGATCTTTAGGACAAACCAAAGGTTTGGCAAAAAAGACCTATAAACAATAAATGTCCCTGAGACAGAAACAACTGTACATATAATTTTTCTTCATTTTATCAACTAGTATTACTGAACAGATAATATCATCAAAACATGATTATGCATAATCACAAGATATGTTTAACAAAACAATCTTATCTACTATCAAATAACTGAACTATATGAACACTGTTCACTCTTCTTAAAGAGTTCTCAAAGAACTCGCAAATAAACTATTTTGAATACCTACTATGACCAAAATAAAATGGTACTACTAATAAAGTAGCGCAGAGTCCAAGTAAAAACTGTAATCAGATGGGCCTCTATCCCTGTATTGTCAAATGTAGTAGCAACTAGTTATATATGACTATTGAGCATTTGAAATGTGGTTAGTTCAAATGTGCTATAAGTTCAAACCAGGTTAGTTCAAACCAGATTTCAAAAACACTGCATACACACACACAAAGACTATAAAATCTCTCATTAATAAAATCTATTATGAAAATTAATTTTATCTATTTCTTTTTAAATTTTAATATGACTATTAGAGAAAGCTGAGCCTTTGTGCTCCCTTTAAGATTTAAAAGCCTCAGAAACCTTATGTTGTTGTTATTATATGCCATGGAGTCGGTTCCGACTCATAGCGACCTTGCACAGGGTTTCCGAGGCTGTAAATCTTTACGAGAGCAGAAAGCCTCATCTTTCTCCCGCGGAACAGCTGGTAGTTTCGAACTGCTGACTGTGAGATTAGCAGCCTGATTTGTAACCACTACACTACCAGAGCTCCTATACAGGGAGGCTAATGAGCTGGAATCAACTAGACAACACTAAACAACAACTAGAAAGTTTGAAATACATAGCTTGGCTTACATACTATTCAATCAGGTAGTACTGTTCTACCCACAGTGACTCTGTAGGATAAGTACTGGGCTACAAACCACAAGCTGAAAGGTTGGTAAGAAGAGCCCACCAGCTGCTCCACAGGAGAAAGAGGAGGTTTTCAGCTTCTGCAAGAACTTACAAGCCTGGAAGCCCAATGCAAGGTAGTTATGAGAAGAAACCATCTCTTTGGCACTTAACAACAAAATGGTACTTTGGTGGTGTAACAGGTTAAGCACTGTGCAATGGAAACCCACCAACTACTCTGTAGGAAAAAAAAGAGGCTGTCAGTTCCCACAAAGATTTAGACTCAAAAGCCCAAAGAGGTAGTTCTACTCTGTTCTATGGGGTCACTATGAGTCAGAACTGACTCAATGGCAGTGGACTTGGTCTTGGTGAACTTACTAGAAAATACTTCTAGTCAAACACTGCACATAAACATGTTTACCACTGTCCATAACCATGCCCCACTCCCACTCAAATGACAGCCTTTTCTTACTAAAAAGGGGAGGGGTCGCCATATATAAATGCTTAACAGAAAACAGGTAAAAGGATAGCAACAAAACTTTACAAGCTAGAAAACAGCTAGATTTATGGACTTCGTGGACCAAGAAACTTCCTCCATCAGCAATGGGAAACCTAGAAGCAAGCCAAATCTTGCTGCTGCACCTCAGAATGGCTAAGGAATTAAGAGCATGGAATAACATTGAAGATAAGGGAATTTATGGACAGATTAGTTCAAAGTCTGTATGAGGCAACAAACTCCTGCAACACTTCCCCAAATTACACAGTTGTGTAACAACTTCATTTCCATCCTAGTCAAGTGCCCTAAGGTTTATCCTCCAGAGTAACTCAGAGATACCGAGTAGAGGGATCAGTGTTGCTGTATGTCATCAATTCCATCTCATCGTAACCCTAGATATAGGGCAGTGCAGAACTGTCCCACAGGGCTCCTAGGCTGTAATCTTCATAGAACAAATCTCCCATGTTTTTTACTCCTGCAGACATAGATAGATTCCAACTGCTGATCTATCCATCAGCAGTCAGTGCTTAACCACTATACACTCAGTGCTCCTTGAGAGACTCAATACTGTTGTTGTGAAGTGGAGTCAAGTCGGTTCCGACCCATAGCGACCCTGTATAGTGTTTTGAATCGCCGACCTTGCTGCTCTACCAGCTGTGCAGCACCACACCAGGACTCCTAACTACTCTGAAAATAAAAGAAATGCAAGTCTATACACTAACCAGGTAGACTTCGTCTCCTTCCTCTACTTACTAGTAAGATTACAGAAGGATGGAGGAATTATTTCTTGCAAACTAACCAGCCTGATATAAAATTCTTACAGAAACTGACATTTGACAGTATTGACAGTACTTCATAAATCAACCAGCTCAGCCAGGCCCACAGAACTCTATCAGATTTTATAGGCCTTACCCAAAGATTATCAGACATTTAAGAAAGGTCTCTAAACATGAAAAAAGCCAAAGAAAACAAAGAGGAAAACCTCAAGAAAAAAGTAAGTAATTTTACTGAAAACATTTACAAGAAAAAAAAAATTTCCTCAGAGAGAGAATACAGCAACAAAATAACAGCATGCTATTTTTTTTTTTTCCTTTTTTTAATTTAAGGTTTTTATTGTGGATTGACTGAAAGTTTACAGGGCACATCATCAGTTTAACATTCAACAATTCATATAACTTGTTGCATTACATTGATTATAATCCCCTTCATATACCATCAGTTAAAAGTATTTCTCTTTATCCACTTTAGCTTTTTTGAAAAAACACACAAACAAAAAACCCACTCAGACATATATAATAAATTACATCTCCAAAGCAGCATGCTATTTTTAAATGTTCCCTGAGAGATCAAGAGAGATCTTTAATATGACAGCATAAATAACACACATAGAAATATTGAGAAGTGAATGCTGATGCCACGTAATATAAAGCAGAGTAACAACAACACAAATAAGACTAGGTCCAGGAGTTTCAGAAAGAAAGAAATCTAGGAATAAAGGGGAAGAACACACAGAAATAACTTTAGAAAATTTCTCGCTACTGAAGAACATTTTGTTTTCTGATTGGGAGAACCCTACGGACTACAAATAAATGAAGGAGGAAAAAGAGGTCCACTGAAGCACTTCAGAACTCTGGCAGGAAAGTGAAGATACTAAAGATTTCTAGAAAGAGAAAAGCAGTTCACAAACATACAATCAGGATTCAAAACGGTAAGACTTCCAGAGCAACAATGCAGTGTAGCATTTATTGCCTTTAAACTTTAAAGGAAAATAATTTCCACCCTAGAATTCTATACAAAGCAAAAATACCAATCAATTTAAAGAAAGAAATGTCATTTTCACATTATGTAAGATGCCTCAAAAACTCTCAGGAAGTTCCTGTAAGATATGTGTTGGTAAAGTAAAAGATCAAACCAATAGAGAAGGTGTACGCACAGAACTAGATGGTGACTGGTTATCACTATCAACCATTTCTGACCAGATGGATGCTGACAGAATGGGAGGAAAGCACAGAACAGAATTTAAATTCTTAAAAAGTTCATACCTATAGGACCAGCTGATATTATGTCCCTGAAATAACTTTTTAAACCTTGAACTGAAACTATCTCAAGGTCACCTTTTGGCAAAATAGCAGATGGGCACAAAAAACTAAGGATATTACCCATTGAGTACAGGGTTCCATTAAAAAAACATCTACATGAGACTAAAAGGTCAGCAACTAAAACAAAGAAAAAACGAGTGTAGGGGAACTAAACTACTGGTAATGGAAGGACCAGAATGCAATAAAACACAATGCTGATTGATCACACAATTCTTGCCAATTCAATTTTTTGGCAATGTACAACTTACTGACAGTAATTACAATATTCATCTGTGCAACCCAACCCTTAAATCAATGTGTTATTTCCTTCACTGTTAACCCTTCCCCCCACCTCCATTCCCTGATAACCACTAATAAGTTTTGTTCTCTATTAAAAAAAAAAAAAAATGTTGACATATTGTCACTGAACAACTATACAGAAATTGTCAAATGGCAAGCTAATTCACTGTGTAAACTTTCACTAAAAACAAGAATTGAAAAATAAAATAAGGCGTATGCAATTGACACCACAGATTACCTGCCAAAATCCATTCACAACATACTTTCTCCCTTGTCTTCCTCTAAATACTCAATTTCTCAGACTCTCTTGCAGCTCAGGAGGGCCTTGGGCCACTTTTCTGGATATGCATCTGAATATTCATAACACCTTTATTCAGTCCTCAAAATCTAGAAACAACCCAAAATGTGCAACAGGTGAACAGATAAACTATAGTACATCCATACAACGGAGTATTACTCATAAACTACTGATGTAACTCAAACATATGGTGCTAAGTTTTAAAAATAAAATCAAACTCAAAGGCTATATAGTACATGAGTCCACTGTTATGACATTCTTGGAAAGGCGAAACTATATGGATGGAAAAGACAAGGATTAGTCAAAAAGTACTGCTACTAGAGTTCCAATTCATACACGTATGACTTTATTCCCAACAAAATGTATTTAAGCACACCTTTGTGGATGGCTGCAGACTCTCTCAGTACTACACTTGTCTTGGTCCACTAGGGTGCCCACACACACAAAAAAGTCCAATCAAAATGGCTACTTCCGAGGAATTCTTTGAGG